TTCAGCACAGGGAATGAAATTATGGCCTACGCTCCAAATAAGTTCATCTTGGGAATTTTTGAAAAATTGGCAGAACGGCCAGTTAAGGCCCCGCACCACACGGCCCACAGGACACCATACATACATCACATTCCAGATTTAGTTAGTAATCCCACAATCTAGTTAAGGATCTGGAAATTGGATCGAATCAATTAATTCTACAGTCAATTTGCATAAGAGATGGTCCACCGGCCATTAAAATTCACAATTTGTCTTCAAACATCTCATGGCCGACTACAATTTTAGAAATTAGAAGATACAACATTATTTATTATAATGAAATATAGGTCCTCAGACCAATTAAAAAGGATAGGATCAACCTCTGCGACCACACTTTACCGCACAGCCTCTCATTAAGGATTAAAAACGCTGGACCTTATGCTTACATAGGTAATCACCTCATAGTAGATTCATAGATGTCTTTCCGAAGCATGAATCAATAGTCATTTAAAGTGCTTTATTAAGCGGCTCAAACACAAGCTGTGCTCAGACCTCTTCTAATCATAAACAAGGTGCTGACTCCGTATGTGTGACCTATGGCAAATCCAGTCCATTCTTTTCCATTAACCTTCCCAGCTTTGCCATTTCTCCCTCGCTCTCTGTCTCTCCGGGGGAGTTTTCCTCTCAGTCAAAGCCGCTCCTAGTGCTTGTTGCTCAGAGGGATTGTTAAGTATCAATTCCTAGTGTCACCTTTGTGGGTTTTATTTATTTGTCGGCCTGCTGGTATGGAACACAGCGCATCACTCAGGTAGATGGATTATAATTCACCTGCAAGCCCTCATCAATCTCCACAATTTGACTTCCTGCATCATGTACAACTGTTACTGTCATATTAAAGTACTGCATTATAAAGATCAATGGCTTTTTAAATACGCTCTAGCTAAAGGTGATTGGTGACATAAAACAGAGAAAAAAAGGCTGATAACTGTCACACAGATGAGAAGCCTCACAAACTTGATGAGGGTTCCTACAAAACAATTACCGTAACATATGCTCTGACGTTTATTAATCAAATCGCATGTTTCCAACCTAATCATCACCTGATGATTTCCTTAAAAATGGATCCCAAATGCATAGCATCTTCACGGAAAAGGATTTCAAGCAAGCTTTCTTTGACAGTGCAGTTGAGCAGAAGCAGCATATGGCTGTGCTTTCCAAGAGCTTTCCTTCATACAGACTGTTTAACCCTGCTAATGTCCCCCAGTAAGGAGCTCCGGAGGCACTGGAGACTGTGCAGCAGCCGACGCTCGTATGACAGATGGCTTATTGTCACTTTGTTTGGGCTGTTGCCTGCTGGGCTCAAGTAGGATGTGAAGACCGGAAGCATTCATATTCTTACAGCCATATACTACACTAAGCGAAAGTAAACGGATAAGACGAGAGCTGTTTCGGCACATGCCTGCTGGGATCTCTGTGTGATTGTAAGAATCAGCAATGCATCCCATTACCGTACACCTGGTCACTATGTACTCTGTTTCTGTGCAAATAAATAAATAAATAAACTTTTATTACAAGTGGCGAAATTGTTGTCCAGTTTGTAAGAGAATGCTAAAATGGAAAGAATGTTCCTCTTCTCTCTATATATGCCATAATACAATGACAGATATCCATTGTCAATGCATTGCTCTAAAACGCCTGACGAGAAAAAGTGATATGAATTTGGTTTCTTACAATGATATTGATACTTTGATTTTAATATTCCTAAAATACGTATGTGGGTCCAAAAGAAAAAAAATGAAAAGCTTATTCTTTAAAACAAACAAACAAAAATGGATCATGGAAAATGTATTATAATGACAATTTATTAATGTTATTTTTAATTACTTCATATACACTACTGTTTACGGTCAATAACTTTTTTTTTATTCATCAAGGATGCATTAAATTTGTCAAAAGTGACAGATTTTTATTTCAAATAAATACTGTTGTTTTGAATGTAATAATTAAAGAGTCCTAAAAAATGTATCACAGTTTCCACAAAAACTATTCAAAAAGTTTTCAACTTTGATAATAATAAGAAAATATTTCTTGAGCAGCAAATAACCATATTAGAATGATTTCTGAAGGATCATGTGACACTGAAGTCTGGAGCAATGATGCTGAAATTCACCTTTACCATCACTGGAATAAATTCCATTTTAAAATATATTCAAATAGAAAACAATATTTTTAATGAGTTTTTTTTTATTAAAATAAATGCAGCCTTGGTGAGTATAAGAGACTTATTTCAAAATCAGTAGTGTATGTTTTATTCTATTTTTTTTTACATTTTATTATGTAAAACAGATATATCTAATCACGCTGTATGCAAATATAACCATTCGCTTTAATGGTAATGCTAATAGTGGGCAGCAAAATTTTCTGTTGACTCTTAGTCCCATAAGGCAAATGATGTTTGCGATTCGTGGTTGCTCGATGCATGTGTCTCATCCACGATTGCTTACTTATGTGTGGATTGTATGGACTGAACCTAAACCATTTGGGAATTTGGGATTAATTAACAAACAGAAGCATTTACACTTAACTGCACTGCACTCGTTACAAACCGCATCCACCTCTCGCATATGTCTCAAATGCATCTTGGAGGGCACTTGGTTTTTCCATGATTAGATAGCTATTAGTAAAAACGCATGAAGAGACCAAGTCTAAAAACTCCCTAAAAGTGTGTGCTTTGTTATCCCAGCTGTCTTGCTGCTGCTTGACTAAAATGCACCACTGCAAGTTTAAACAATCACCTTGTCAGCAATATGCTCAATCAATTACTGCTGTTGATATTATCAACGGCTTCATCTTCCCTGATGGTCTCCCTCTTTTACTCCTTTTTCCTGTATTGCTCTCTTACTCCTTTTACTTCTCAATCTTTCTCTTTGTATATCTATCTTTAATTTAAATTTTTTTTTTTGCATTTGGCAGATGCTTTTATCCATTTAATCCATACACTGCTTTCATATTTCTCATTGCATTTTATCAGTTCATGCATTTCTTTGGAATCGAATCCATGAACTTGGGGTTGCTAATTGTACTGTTTGAGCTACCTACATTAAATATGGAATAATTAAGATTTTTTTGCGTTTTTGAAAGAGGTCTCTTATGCACACCAAGGATTTATTTAATTAATAATACAGTAAAACAATATTTTAGTTAAATATACTAAAATTTAATTAAATATAGGCTATTCAAATAAAATTTTCTACTTTAATATATTTTAAAATGTGATTTATTCCTGTTGTCAGACTCTGTTCCGTGTTTTGTGTGTTTTCCTCCCCCCCACGTGCTCCAGGTTATGTCCATGCCCATATTTGGTCCTTCCTGTTTTCTGTTCCTATTATGTTTATTGATCCCAGGTGTTACTCGTCTTCCCCTCATCATGTCTCGTGTATTTAAGGTGTTTCCTGTTTTGAGTTCTCTGTCCGGTTTTGAACGTCGATCCCCGTGTCACGTGTGATTCCTGTGATGTCAATAAAGACTGTAAATCCTGATTCTCCTCGTTCCTCGCTCCTTGTTCCACGCTCCTCACCGTAGGCACAACGTGACACCTGTGATGTCGAAGCTGAATTTTCAGCATCATTACACCAGTCTTCAGTGTCACATAATCCTTCAGAAATCATTCTAATATGCTGATTTGCATTTCTTAATAATATCAATGCATAAAACAGTTGTGCAGCTTAATAGTTTGTGGAAACCATGATAAACTAACATTTAAAAGTTTGGGATATAAAATTGATCTGCATTAAATTGATCAAAAGTGACACTTTTTTGTAACAAGAAATTTGTTACAAAAGATTAGTATTTAAATAAATGATCTTTAAAACTTTCTATTAATCGAAAAATCCTGAAAAAATGTATCACAGTTTCCACAAAAATATTAAGCTGCAAAGACTGTTGCCAACATAGATAATAATAATAACCATTAATAATAATTGAACACCAATAATAATTTATAATAATTGAGCACCTAATCGGAATATCAAAATCATTTCAGATGTGACACCTAAGACTGGAGTAATGGCCGCTGAAAATTCAGCTTTGCCATCACAGAAAAACATTTAAATATATATATATATATATATATATTCTAGCTATCTATTGGTCTATAAACATTTAAACTTCAAAAATGTCTTTTTTAAAACAAGGTCAATACAACATTCTGATTTGTCCTGACAAACTTTTCTTTTCTAGTTAAAAATTACTTATCATATGAATTTATTTGAATTAGTATTACTTCTACTTACGTACATTCAACTTCAAACTGCAACTCTGCATCCTGTTGGCTGCCTCAATTAAAATACATTCTTAATTCAATTCTAAATGCTTTCTAGGCCAGACCACTATTCATTCTGCCTCCTCTCTGTGTTCCCCAGTGATAAAGTAAGAGGTGTACGCAAGTGCATAGATTACCAGCCCTTAACCAATCATCTGAGACAGGTCCACTCTGCATTAGCAGCAATGACCTTACCGCCAGTGGTGACAGTCACCTGTCAGCAACGTCTCACTCCTGGCATTTTCAAGGCTCAAAGTTGAGAAATAATTAGGCCCGACAGTCCTCTAGGGTTAAACCAGGGCTGCAAGTCATCATTCCAAAGCTCTGTCAAAGGGGTCAGAGGTCAAAATCAGCCAATGATATGACCTCCACATCGTGGCCATGATTCCATAGCTTGGTGGGAGGATCGCCAAAGACAGATCAGGTTATCAGAGCGAGCTTCCCCTCTGAGAAGAGTGATGCATTCAAATCATAATGAAACCTAATCTGTACCACACTGGAATTTTCATCACCCTGTAGTTATAAAGAGCCGGAGAGGTGAACATGCATGCAATTACTTCACAGAGAGAGGCATGTGCTTCGGATGCACACGTTATAATAGATAGTAGATGGCAGGATGTGGCTGGAAACGGCTCAGATGTGGCAAGCTGGTATTATTTGGGCTCTTTCCAGTCAATAAGGAAAATAAATGTTCCCTCACCTTATTATGAACACAAGCTGAGACTGTTTTCCTGTCATCGGTCCTGGCAAAACACGCGTACTGATGGGACACAAGCTGTTTGGAACTGAAGGGGGGACTCTTGGGATGACTTGTTTACCCGGAGCTTTTCAACTGAGGTCAAACGTCTGTAGAAAACACATGGAGACATGTTGAACACCGCTTCCCCTCACGATTTATACTAATTAAACATATGGCATGAGGAGAAACAAATAAACCCTTAATATTTGATCTCTATAAAATGAGAGTAAATAACATTAAAATTCAGTTTAAAGCCATTGTAAATTCAGCCTCGAGCAAATTTATCTTATCTGGACTATAAAAAAGTGTGTATAATCTTATTGAGGTGGAGCAGTGCACACACCTGTTTTTTTTTCCTACCCTGCAGTCAAACACTTCTGCAACTCCTGCCTCACACACCCTCCCCCCAACCCCCCATCCCCACCTCCTCATGCTGAAACCCATTACAGAAATACAATTTCTAATGCCTTCACACAGGCCCACGATCGACTGCAAACAAATTTATATTCAGCCCGTAAACAGAGAGCAGCAGAGATTTATTTATTGAGCGGAGAGGAGAGAAACAAGCTAGCGCGTGAACCCTGGGTAACCCCACAGCTGACATGAAGATGGATAAGTGTACCATGCAAATGTACAGAGGGAAGGGATATATTGCACTCCGTCATTCAGTGCATCGCTGCCCGTAGAATTCCGTTTATTCTTCCAGCTGGGACCAGATCTCTGGGGTTGCGAGTGCACAGTTATACATTGTTGATTATTTGAGATTGTTTTTTAATCACTGCAGAGCCCTAGTAAAACTCTTTATTGGTCATATAAGCGGAAATCCCTCCTTCTGTTCTGTGCAGTAGTTCAAATGCAGTTGCAATGATAGTTTAATTGCAAACAATATCATAACTATATTAGGTCTATTATCATTGTTACTTTTTTTTATCTAATTTTATCTAATTAACACTTGCCATTTCATTATTAAAACACATTTTATGCATTTTAAAATACAACTAAAATGAACACAATCACCTCAGTTTTAATCCAGAAGCTCAACATGGCATTAGCAACACCAAATTGAGTCCTAGACCTAGAAAACACTGACACTTTTATCCACAATGACTTCAGTAAAGCATGAATGTAAATGTGTTGCAAATGTACTTACAGCTGTTAAGAAGGTGGCTTCTGTACGTGTCTAAGTATTTCTATTTTCTGATCTTGATCCAGTGTTGAAATCTTTTGAACCAATAAGACTTTTTTAATGACTGAGCTACTGGAAGGAGAGACCAAGTCTGAAAGTATAAAGACCACATCTGTTACAGCTAAATAGATGTGAGAGTGCTGTTCTCCTGATAACCTCTAAAGGTCATATCTCTGGTGATCTCTGTCTAATGCTCTATGACTTTGGTGAAACTTTTTGGAATGTCACCTGTAAAATATTATGGAATGTATATGTAAAACAGTCAAAAATTCTCATTATACTTTAGACATGCAAACAGTTCAGATTAACAGAGCAAGGCTTTAAAAGTGCAAATGCACACTTGGTACCTTAAGGAACTATTTCTTATTATTGTGACTTAAATTTAACCAGTAAATGAAGATGTTACCAAATGGACATTTTAGGTTAACTGAAAAAAATAAAAGAATAATTGAGCATTAATTGTCATATTCCATAGATATATTTAATCTCCCTCGAGTTTAATAGGCTGATTCAATTATTGAACATGACGTTACAAACATTTAAATCTTATTTAAAAAATGGAAGAAAAGGAGCGAGAAAGACAGAAAATCTGTACTCTGTAATAGTTATGCTCTTCGTTATTTCTCGTTTAAAGTAAAAGTGCAGGTCAAAAACTACTCCTGTGCTTATTTTATTACCGTTTTAAATTTCAGGCATTTATTTTAAATGACAAGAATGTTAATGAAATCAGCAAAATAATAAAGTATGAGAAAGAGTTTTTTTTTTCTTTTCTTTTATGCAGTAGGCAATATAAAGCCAGCATTTTAGGCTATAATAAAGTTTAGCAACGACGCGACGGTTGGGCTTAGCCTATAATAAAACTCTCTGTACTTTGATTTATTCCGTTTTTTAATATTATTTTATGAAACAACTATTTAACGAATTAAAGTATTTAATAATCTTGTCAGTTTGGCTTGCCAATTGTTTAGAAAGAATGAACAAATCTTAAACTTTGAAAAAATGAAATAGTTTTTGTGTGTAAAGCGGTTCATTATTGCAGGGGAGGCAGCTGCTAATTATCATTTGACCGACGAATGACCTGCAACGACAGCTGTTTAGAGCACACGTAATCACTCAGAGATCTCATACAATGACCTGATAATTCCCTTTTAACATGATTTCAGCTGTTATGTTAGATTCCCTATGGTCTAGAATTCAAAACAGAGTTTCAGTTTTTCCGAAGAATATAGAGAGAAGACATTTTTGCGTTTTAAAGATAATCGGAATATGAAAGAAGATGGAATGCAAGTGTAACGTGGGTTACCTGGACGAGTAAAGGCTTGAGAGCTACATGGACGTTTCTACGTTTCTTTTCAACGTTTCAGTGACGCAACAATCGTATGCGTGAACCACAAGATCCATGGCTGTCTTATTAACAACTATTGACAATGGCTTAAGACCTTATTCCCTGAGCTGTATACATTTCGGGTATAATCTAAGGCCGCTATACTGACTAAAAACGACATTGATTTTCTGTAAGTGCTAATTTGAAGAGCAGATATGGACTGGGCCTTATAGAAACACACACACAAATATTCCGCCATTTTGTGCTAAACGTAAAATTAAAACACAATACATAGCCTATCAGTAAAATTAGCCTAAATTAGAATAATATTATCCGGAGAAAATATTTTTTTATCCGGGTCTGGAACAAACCATTTATTTATATTCTAAATGTCACAAATGCCTTGACATTTATGCAAAATTCTCAGCAATATGAAGTGCGCTTTAATAACATTCAATATTATCCATTATAAAATTAAGTAGCTACTTATGTTGACCCCCCTCGCACACGCGCGGGCACACACACTCCACGAGACCTTATTAGCAGGTCAAATAAAAGTCGCTCAAACTTGCTTGCTTTGGTAAATTAACGCTCACTCAGATGAGGGAGATGTCCGGCTATTGCAGTAGCTATTGGCCAAGAGTTAGAGGGCACGTCATCCCCATCCATCACCGATCGAATGTTTCTAGAAGGCATGCCCCTGTCGGTGCCTGTCCTTTTGCGCGCTATGTGTGGCGTCTGTGGATGGAGTTTCTGTCGCGTCCATCCTGGGATGAAAATCTGGAATATATAAGATGCAGTCATGAATTCTTATCAAGGGTTCAGGGACACAACGTCACTCTTCATCAAGGGCTATCATGCTACTGGAGTTATGCGTCTGCATCAGGACCACGAATCTACTACTGACTTCCCAAGCAGAGAGGAGGGACGTGTCAACACCGAGGCGGATTTTCTTCGGTATCATTTCACGAATCTCAGTGCCACGGCCACAGGCGCGTGTTCAAAGCCCTGTGAGGACCCTGCCCGTGCTAACTCGACCAGACCCCCCTTCCCCCATAATCAAGATTTCTATAGACCAGTGCACCCCATCCGACCCCAAGTCCCCTCCTTCCAAAGCTGCCGTGAGCAGGGTCTCTCCAGAACGGGCTTCTCCTCTTCCTCAGACACTTTAAGAACTTTCTCCGGCGCGCATTGTGAACTCGGCACTGTCAACAACACGCACCTCGATGTGCACACATGCGACGGCCCAGTGCTTCACCCAGCAGTTGAGGACAATAATACGAGACACGAGGCTCTAAACACGTTAAATGAGACACTGCGAAGTGGAAAGACTTTCAATTGGATGAGAGTGAGGAGAAATCAGTCCCGTACAGGTAAGCTGACTAGTGTTTTAATTCGATTAACTTTACAGCTAAGTGATGTATTGACCGAGTGTACCAACATCTCTGCCTTCTCAGCTTTAAAAATTCTAGTGGTTTGATTTAAAATACAATGCGAATGTTTTTTTTAATAACTATCGTTTTTTCAATTTTCTCTGACTGAAAGTAGTGTATACTAAGTAGGACAAGAACTTTTCAGCTAGCAGAAATGAATCCTTGGAGGTGGAGCTATCTATGTGTGTCTACAAGTTTGGCTGTACTTGCAAAGGTCAAATTTAAAAAAAAATGTACTCACAAATACAGTGAAACATGATCAGTTGTGAGGACATTTCAAGTGTTATGCAGTATTTAACTCATAAATCAACCAAGTAATGTTTTCCTTTAATTTACCCATATCAACAGGTTTGAATAAAGGGTCAGGTTTAGGGCTTAGCAAATATTATCACCTAAAAACCTCAATGTGCTTGAAAGATAAAATGTTACATGCTATGGTAGTATATTTTATATTATATAATCACATTATATATATATATATATATATAATCACAAAAAGTGGCAAAAGTATGAAGTTCAGCCCATCCTGTGCAGATGTGGCACGTGCCAGAGACAGGGAGTTTTTGCTTCACAAATCTGCATGCTGAAAACCTTTAAAAATTTAAGGAGAGTGTAATATATAAGATCTGCTCTGGTGCTTATATGGGTCAGCAACAACATGCCAGGCAAAATTCCTCCATTTTTTTATAAATAACACATTTCATTCTATTTTGAATGTTAAAAATCCTTTCATTGACAAGAAGCAGCCCAGGCCATATTAAAAGGAGTCCAGCACCCCCTAGCTCTCCATTCAGAGCCAAATAAACTTCAGAGGGACACTTTTCCTCGACAGAGCCCTAAATCTTAATAGAGACCAATGTTTATATGCTGCAATTAATTTTCTATATTGAATGTTGGGAAATGTTTGTCAGAATCTCAGTGTAATCCTTAACTGGAATAATGATCGGATAGGTCTGCGTTTAATGCAGTTCAAATGTGAGTTACTTGACATGTGCTCATAAAATGTCATGCTCAATGACATTTGACCTGTATTATGTCAAAGTATTTCATGTTTGTTGTGAGAGCTTTGTGTTAAATTGTGAATCGCTCGTCCCCCTCAATAAATCACAATGTATGTATTAGGTTGATGGTAAAACCATGAAGAGCCCTGTTTGATTTGTCATTTCCTACGAATCAGTAATACAGCATTCATATGGTTTCCAGACTGTCAAGGAGAAGAATGTCTGGCCAGGCCACACTGATGATCTAAAATAACTCACAGGCAAATATGTCAGCGAAAAGGTCATTCCGGGCTATATTGCCCAGCGTATGAACAACAGCTGTGGTCAGGAAATAGGATGGAGAGGCCTGCTATATCAAATCCCAAAAGCTTGAATGGTGGCAAGGCCAGGAGTTCACAATTTGTTTACTGTATTGGAGCTTCTGCTGTTTGTTTCTTTTTCTCCTGCCTGTCTGCACATTCACCTAGAGACACATGAAAGAGGCATTGTTTGATATCAGGTACAATATATATATATATATATATATTTTTTTTTTTATTTGTATGCATACAGTTTTGGAACGACATGAGGGTGAGTAAATGGTGATTTCATTTTTTTTTTTTTTTGGTGAACTTTTCCTTTAAAGAGGAGTATAAAATGGTCTCTATACGTTGTGACCTTCCCTCTGTGGTTAATGTCTTTTGATTTATCGCAAGCCTTATGGAGAAAACGTTGTATGATGATATATGAGAGGTCTGTCAACAAGTGCTTAAGATAATACTCACATCAACACAGCAGCCAAAGTCAAATGTTAAATGGTAGGGCGAATGCTTTTTGTCTGCTCTGTTACTTGAGTTCATTATGACGTAATGCAAAAAAGAAAAGGAAAAAAAAATATTACAGGGATAAAGAACATTATGAAAGGAATAGTTCACCCAAAAATGAAATTTCTGTCATCCAAACCTTTGTAACTTTAATTTTTTCCACAATAAAGAAGATTTTTTTTATAGAACACTGGACCCCATTGAGTTCCACTATACAGAGACATTTTTCAACATTTTTCCACAGAAGAAAGTAAGTCATACAGTTTTGGAATGCAATGAGGATGAGTAAATGATGGCAGAGTTTTTATTTTTAGGTAAACTATCCCTTTAAGTGAGAGATTCCACGCATTGTGAGGGTTATTGTTTTTACTGGGCAACATCAAACTGTTTCCTTTACTCAACATGAATAAAAGCTTATAGAGAGTGTCTGACTGGATCCCCCAGTACAGTGCACATAGTCCCCGTGCGTCATTCTTCAGTTATACCTTGACAGCACCTGAATTACTGTGGGCTGGATGCCCAGATGACCGAGGCAATCTGTATCGATCCCCTGCTCTCTTTTAGGCTTAGTGGGCCACATCATCCCTCTGGCTGGCTGGCCATTTCCAAGTTTGCAAGTCATTCCTCAAATGTTTCGTTTGATTCCTTTATGCCTTCTGGCAACTGCCAATTCTATTATCCAGTAACTCATTCATCAGTGTTTTCATGCACACTAAGGAAATTGCTTAATTACTTCATATTTGTCAGTGAATGCACTGATTGTTAGAACGTCCCTTGTGAATATTAGAGGTGACCCTACAATTGCTTTTTTCATATCTCTGTTTACTTTCATTTGCACGGTGAGAGCGAGATAAAGATCGCTCTCGAAATTAACTGTATAATCAACTGTTTGTGCTCTGAGCCTGAAGAGAAAGGGTGAAGGCTTCACTGTAAAAAAGATTCTGTAAAATTTACGGAAATGTAACACAGGGAATTCTGGGAATGTCAATTTACGGTTATTCATTGAAAATTATACAGTCTTTTTCACTTCCAAAAACGATATACTACCGTAAAATTAATGTCCAATACATGTCATGTCCAATACCGTTTTTCACTGTATATAGTAGGGGGAATTTACCGTTAACCATTTAACAGGTTTTTACTGTAGAATTTTTACAGTCTTTTACCATTAAATTCACGGTCATTTTTTACAGTGTTGCTATTAGTGACATGTAGAGTTTTATTCAGCTGATTGGAGAGCGTTTTAATTGACTTCATGCTGGAAAATAGAAAGATAAAATGCATAACGTTTTGGTTGCAATAACAAAAGAAAGTCCTTTAGTCAGATTCGGGTTTTTTTTTGTTATCGCAACCAAAACATTGTGCAGTTTCACTTTTGTTTTTGTATGTCCTCTGTCTGTTCAAACTGTAGGTCCTTGACTGCAATGACATGACTACAAACACACACACTCTTACACATGGTGTGCAGATGGCACAGAGGTTAGAGAGACACTTGCAACTGTAGCAGTATGTGAGGGCTCAGTGCGCCTCTATCACTCCAGGGGATTTTCCCGCCTGACCCCTGTGTGTGTGCCTTAAAGGAATGTGCAACTTCCTGTGTTTCCAAAAGCAAACACCACAAGCAAACAACAAAACATGAGCATGATTTCCTTAAAACAGCTGTTAGTCGGCTAGCTTGGTTAAACTGCAGATTTAATGCTATTCTAAATTAACAAAGAAAGGCAGATTTGGATGCACTTGGTTTTCAATTAATTGCAGGGCATACTAGGTTGGGCAAAGTAGTCATGTAGCACCAAACTGCAAAGCAGCATCTTTGGCAGATTTTTATGGCAAGCCGTGATGGACAGTGCATCTGGCCCTTGTGCTGCAGTCATCTGTGTGGTGCAAACAGACAGACAGTCCTCTGTTTAGCTGATACAGACAGGATCTCTGCATTCAGGTGAAGGTCATGCAATCACAGTCATTCACTATTAAACTTACTTGCAGCAGATCATGAGTGATCATCCTGGAAACCTGGCAAATATTATTTCTGCTATTAAAAACAAAAATGTTAAATCCAAATGTGATTACAATTTCTAAAATTTGTACTTGGTAAGTGGCATCCGGAAGAATATATTTTGAATATATCTTAAACTCATCAAAATTAATTTTACTTTGAAATGATTTTTCTCTTACAAAAAGAGTACAAATATATTAAACTTAACCTAAAGGCATATTTTAGTGAATTAACTGGTTCAAATATCACTTAAACCCACTCTGAATCAGTCTAACATAGACTTTGATCATTCGTTTAGCGAATTATCAATACTAGCTACATTTTTATGGAAGTCTTTTATTTAATATTAAAATATTATAAGACAGCACCACACCATATGAATATAATAGTATTTTATTTTACCCTATATAGTTTATATAATTTTACATTCATAACCTGCTGCTTTGTTAATAAGAGATCATTTGGTTTCAATTTTGCTCGGCCTAAAATAAAAAGCATGATTAATAAATGCCAATAATATTTTATATGCATATTTAGCAATTTTATAGTTGAATATATTAACAGAAAAAAACTGACGTGTTTTGTTAAACGTGTTTTTCAACAAATTTGCAGCTGACATTTGCTTGGATCTGAGATTATAAAAATGCACATTTTTAAAGACACTGACATTCTATTTTAAAATATTATTAGGCCTATACATTTTTTGTTAGGGTATACAAACATGAAATAACATGCAAGGATGTTAAGCACTGAATTTACCAATATTTATTTGCTTGCTTGTTAAAAAATGTAGAGCTTATGTTTTTTTATTGCATTGCCTTCCCAGCTAAGACACATCTGGACCCGGAGCTGAAGAATGACCACGGACGAGATCCTGACGAGGACCCCTCGAGTGGAGCACCACGAACAAATTTTACAACCAAACAACTCACAGAACTGGAAAAGGAGTTTCATTTCAACAAATATCTGACTCGAGCAAGACGGCTGGAGATCGCAAACACTCTCCAACTGAGCGAAACACAAGTGAAGATCTGGTTTCAAAACAGGCGCATGAAACAGAAGAAAATGCTGCGGGAAGGCATATTTCCGGGATTATTGCTGATTTCTGGGTGTGATGAGGATTCGAAAAAAACAGACACTTGTTCATCTCCTGACAAAAGATCATTTCTATTAGGGTAAGACTGTTGGGACGGCTGCTAGGCTACACAGAAATCCGAACGATCACGTGAATAGCATGCGTTATAACAAGAGAGTGAACGATCAAAATATATTTACACACCCAAAATGAAGTTTTGACACCAAGCATAAATATTTATTTATCGATACAATTGTTTAAGAAAATAAAGCAGTAACTCGCTATGATAAAAAAAAAAGGAGTTTGCTCACCTGTTGAAGCAAGCGGATTTATTTAAAATGCATTTTATAGTTTATTTCTTACTTTAAAATAATTGTTTATATGCTATGTGTTTTTTTTTTCATTCTGAATCTTCTTCTGTTATTAAATATCAGAAAATTAATCGATAATATTAATAGATATAATCAGGGTTAAAAAAAAAAAATAGGGCAAAAGTGTCACAAGTGACAAAAATGCCCCAGATATTTAAAACATGGAAAAAAAGGGGGGGGAGGGGGGTGCAGGGGGAAACCATTTTTAAAAAATATATTTTATCCAAACTACCTATATTTTACGCCGTTACATCCTAGGCATATCTAGTTATGGGTCTAAAATATTTGACTAAAATGTAGAGCATACTACGTTTTATGTATGATACAAAGAAAATGCTCTTACAAAAGTAAAAATGCCTATAGGGGCAATTATCGGTTACAAATAAAATAAATTGATTTCTGACACTGGTCTCATCTGATTATTATTCCTGGCTCTAAAACAAAAACGTGTTAACTGGTTGTATTCGTCAAAGCATCTCTAAATAATAATGCCTTTATTTTTTATTTTAATAAGCAGCGAAGTGAATATCTGAGCTAAAGTACTGTTATTACATTAGCCTACTATTTGAAAAAAAAAAACGCGTGGAATAAAACATTCTTAAACGTGCATGCACAGTATCTGACGCGAACAGATGTAGTTTGTTAAAAATCTAAAAATGCACATCTAATATTTAGACGCCAGGCTGCACACATTTAGAAACACTCAACAGGTTTGCTGCTGTTTGGCAGACATACTGTGTCTGTCATATTCATGCTGCTTGTGCTTTTATCTGCAAATAAAGAGCGCCGCACGATGATCGGTGATACGCGTCTTTCTAAATAATGGCGAAAAGCTGTCAACGTACAAAGTGCCTCCACTTAGCCGTGTATTTCCACCAATTTATTGCTGGAAGAGGTTAAATCGAGTGCCACGGGTTGAACCTTCTGATACCAACTCCTCATTTTGATAGCATCAAAGCAGTGCATTGAGAGCTAGAAAAACGGTGGAGGAATAAAGCGAGGCTTTTTGTGATTATTTTTTGGCGTACACACCGTTTACATTTTGAATGCATATTCAGATGGCATACTTTATCATAATTTAACTTTAAAATGTTTTGGAGAAACATATGAAGTTATTTACCCTGTATAATCATAAGTCTCGCTTTTTGTTTGGTGATATTCAACGGACAAGGACAGAAATATTTGCTGGAATTATCTGGAACGAGAGAGGGGATTATCGACATTTCTAAACGATCGATTTTTCGATGTGATGTGGATTTAAGCTGATTGCCTTTTAATTGATTTGCCTTGATGGCTTAAATAATTACAGCATTTGAATGAAAGCCATCTTTTTCATTTCACTCATTGTTTTCATTATTAAGACAACGTATAGTAAAATAAAAAGACTACATGCTAGATTCTTCACAATATTAATCTGCAAAACAATAAAAGCCTACTTATTCCTTAAATGAGCTATTTTTTTTCGCTGCATGAAAATTCCATTTTTGTTCTGCATACAATATAATTTTAATTTGAAGGGATTTGCATATTTAACCCCCTTGTATCAAAGCAAGCAAATTCTCTAACAAAAGCACTACACAGTCTCGTGAAGAGAAAAATGATCTGAACCGTCTTGTTAAATTATATTAAATGTCCTAAAAATGTTCCAGCAGCCTTAAAATCGAGATGCGTTAATCATACAAACAATATAAAGGCGAATAAAATTAATTGAAATAATCGTTCCTCAAGAGGGCTTGATTTAAATATTTCTTGAGGTATTTCTGACTTAGGCCTACTGAAAACATATCATCTCGCCATATTAGGAAACCTATATGCACGAAGCACGACTTGCATGCCTGAGCCTGCCAATATGTGCAGTTACTCCAGAGTTCACCTTTCACCTCTTGACCTCTGTTTCGCCTCGAGACAGCAGTGACCCGGTCAGTGGCTCACAGAGAAAAGGCTGCATTATTAATTTCACACTTCACACGTATCTTCACACTTCTTTCATTTTTTAAAAATGTTTATTCTCATGTTACAGTGTAAGCAAAAGTAGGAAAACCATACAATGTAATAATTGTATTCACCTATACGTTTTATTTATATTACTTGCTGCATAAACTTTTCAAGTTAAGTGTGTGTGTGTGTGTGTGTGTGTGTGTGTGTGTGTGTGTGTGTGTCGGTTTAATACAACCTAGAAAAAAAGTAAAAGCTGAGATTAAAACAGACGATTTGATAATAATCTTTTTTTATAGCCAGTGGAAATTCAAAACCCTCCAAGCACTTTTTGTTTCATTTTTTAAATCATATTATTAAGTAGATATATGACTATTCTTTTTACGCGCTTTTAAGCCTGAATGCGGAGTTAATGTCGCCAGGTTTAGGACAGAGAAAAGCATAGGCTTGTTTACGGTACTGTAGATTCCTTCTCGAAACGTTTGACGCATGAAAATTTACAGCGTTCAGGAAGGAAGTTTTCCTCTAGTATAGCTCATTAGATTTCACCTACACAAACCGATGTGCATTTTAGCTCAGTTACATCCGCATGCAGGAGCTTAATGCCCACGTTATGACATGTGGGTGCAGAAATTGATAACGCGATTGGATCAAGTATAATCCTCACTGCACGGTTGCATTTTACTCCGTAATTGAGAGGAAACGACATTACCTCGCTTATAGCGATGCTCTTAGAATGATGACCAAAGCCATATATTATTTTCTGTATTAGAGGCATAATATTTGTGAGCAGCAATGATTCTAGATGCAAATACACAGAAATAAAAATTTTATATTCTGCTACAAGTGTCAACCACACCAAATGAAAACACAAATTATTTTTTTTTATTTAAGTATTTTTTTTATTTTGCCTTACGTGTTAATCAGTTAATAAAAAGATGTAAATAAAATTAAGGATCGCTTTTTTACATTATTTTACATTAAGTGTTAAGCAGTTGATAAAAATAAGTAAATAAAATTAAGGAAACAAAAAAAAAATTATTTATATAATTTATATTCAATGACATATAAATACTGACATTTTATTATTTATTTATTTTTAACAAAATGTTATAAGTAAATCAGCAAATTACTATTTTACTTTATTTTACATTGTGTTAATCAGTTAATAAAAATAACTATTATTTATTTTTGTAGGTTTAACAAAATGTTATATTGACTCAAAGTTTTTGCAAAAGTGTACACCAAAAGAATAGAAAATGTAATTAATTGTCCACATATTCCTATACCATTAAACAATGTCATATATGCAAATAAATGTGTGGATTAGATTCAAATGTGAACAAGACAATTTTTATACAACTCAATCAATCTACATTAACATATCTTAAAATCACAATTATACAAATTTGTGCCTTTTAATAAGAAATACACTGATATACATTTATATTTGCCTACATAATACTAAAAAAATACTTATAAAATCATCCCAAACAGTTTCACAGCCATCAAAACTTAATGTTAAATTACTGGAATATTTGGAGGGGGGAAAAAAATCATATGGCAAAATACTTAAAATGCAGAAATGTTCAGAACATTTTTAGACATACATAATATTGCTATGTCAACTGGCTATTTTAAAATATTGTTGTCTTCATACTGTCCTTTTTAAAAGCCGCATGTCTCACTTATGTGGCTGCTTCTGATGGGTGGTCCTTAAAATGGCTGGTTACTATTGTACACTAACAAAAGGAGACACAGAGCTTCCAACACCTCTTCTCATCCCACACACAGTGTCCATAACAAACAGACATTGTATCGGTTTCTTCTGCACTGCAACCAGTAAAATGAAGAACTGATACTCATTTGTTTGCTTGTCAAGGGCACACATAAAAGAGGAAGGTAGAGGGAAGGTTTTAAGGCACCTTGCATATATATATATATATATATAAAACGCACAGGGCGTGTGCACACAGACCATTTTCTAGCCCTCGTTTCTCCTACCATTTACGACTCCCGAGAACAGATGTTTGGGGACAGCTTACAGCCTCAGCGAATTTCTGTGTACAAAGCAAACAGCAGCACTCAGCATTTCTAGCTGGCTAAGAAATTGCGCTCTCGGAGAAGGGGGAGGGGGGAGCATGAAGCCCAGGGTCTAGGAATCCGAATGAGGCAGAGAACAGGCGACACTTAACGAGGTGAAACTGTGTCAAGGTTACGTTCAGGGGGTTTTGTATTCAAATCAGTGCACTACACTCTTAAAAATAAAGGTCCCTTATTGGCATTGATGGTTCAACAAAGAACCTTTAACATCCATGGAACATTTCAATGGACAAAAGCCTTCTTTATAGTGGAAAAAGGTTCTTTAGATTTTTTTTAATATTCTTCACATTAAGAAGAAGATGGTTCTTTTAAGAATTGTTCACTGAAAGGTTCTTTGGAGAACCAAAGATGGTGGTTCTACACTCTTAAATCTAAAGGTCCTTTATTGGCATTGATGGTTCCATGAAGAACCTTCATCATCCATTGAACCTTTCCAATGGACAAAAGGATATTTATAGTGGAAAAAGGTTCCACAGGTGAAAACTGCCTTTATTTTTAAGTGCGTAGGTGATTGTGACAGTGCAACTCACTTGTCTGTATAAGCTGGCATATATAAAGGAGGCCTTTATGTGTGGATTCGGGGAAACAAGCGTTGACCTCTATGGTGTAGCGCTGCGGACTCTCAAGGTTCGGATTGCCCTTTGAAAAGATGCAGACGAGCACTACAGGGACCTGAAAGCTTGTATATTTTGCTGATGCTGATATTTAGGCTTCTTGGGTGGTACAAAAACATAAAGGGGGAAAAAAAACTACATTTATTGCACAAAAGCAAGTGGCATATTCCTCATAAAACAAAGAGCAATGCAGAAAAAATTAATAGCAATATCTCAAGGCTTTTTCTTAACAGATACAAGGCGCAATTTCAATGCCATATGTTGGGTTCCATTGCATCACTCACCAAAACAAACCTTATTTTTCATACCTTCCG